CTTTATTTGCTTATTAGGCCTTTACTCGCAGTCAGTTAGGAGCTTCCTTTTAAATAACTGCGAGTAAAGGCCTAGTAAGCAAATGGGCGGTGCACAATAGGTGTACGATGAAGTGCGCTCCGAGACAGTCTGACTGTTAATTCCGCCAAAAGCCTTTTCATATTTCACTTCCATTTATAGTTGGGAAAATGATTATCGCGACTGTTCCTCGAGCATTCGATTTCACTTTTTTTTTGCTTCGTTGACTTTTTAATGAGATGAAAAAGCGATTGTGTTTGCATGCAGGAGTGGCTCTGGGTGGCGATGTTTTTCTATCGGGCGAAACTGGCAGTAGCGAAACGCATCAGTAAAGACTCGAAAGATCCCACACTTTACGAGAAGACGAAAAGGTATGTGCGATCGCGAATGGGTATCTATTGGGAACACATGAGCAAATCTCCGTGGTCATCACTGCCCGAGCTAACAAATGCTGACGGCAACGAGTGCATATACTCGTGTGGCGCCCAAGCCTGGACTGTTGGCTGCTTATTGGAAACCGTCAATGACTTGTACCAGCTGTGCAAGAAGCCCGCTGAAAGGACCTAATTTGCAAACTTTCCGCGTCCATATCTTCTGTTGTATACGTGTATTTATTTTGTGCTCTGTAATATTATTACGGTCAAAAATGGATAAAGGAAGGCAGTTAGAAAATACAGCCAAAATTCTCCCCATAGCGACGTACTGGTAATGCTGCTCCGATCCCTCATGGATTTCTTCGGGAACATTGGTACTGACCTCAGGCAGACAGTGATTATTTCCACACCAGGGCCTTCCTAGTGAATTCTGTGTTTTTAGTGCTGTGTAGTTTTCATTGTTTTCTTTGTATGTATGTTTTTTGTTTGCTCATTCTAGAACTCATGGAAACATCAAGTAGTTCTATTGCTTCTCATTCAGCTGCTTCTTCCGTATCTTAGTTTATAGCGGTGTGCCACGATAAATTTTTTGAAATACCATTATTTTCGTTGTCGCCATTTCAGCAGTGCAGCTAGAGCATGTAAATCTTGCTGAACGGCGCTAGTAGCAGACTTAGCATACTAGAATGGTAGTGATATTCATTACCAAAAATCATTGGCGGCGCGCACTGGGCGGGCCCGTGCGATCATACGTTTTTACATGTTTCGTGCTGTAATAAGATCCCGTAATTCGAGAATCAGCATATCAGAGGTTTCTAGCCCACACTACACTTGGACAGGGAACATACTCTTGACATCCCAGGTTCCCAGCTTTCTCAGTTCCTGAGTTACCCAAATTACAGCCAGAAAATTTCA